TTGCTTGATATAAAAACTCAATAACCGACTTTGGTCATACCCATATTTGAACCCAAATCCAAATCTCAAACAGACTGGTGACAACACCTAACCGCCTGTCCAGTATGGTGAGCAGAATTTACAGCTATTTGTGCGACTTGGTTTATCCTCGCTAGCTACCAAAATTGTAAATTGCCATTTTAAATGCTTATTGACCATGTGCTCACCAGTGAAGAGAACCGTCGAGATTAAACCTGCATGTCTTAGGAATGTAATATTTAGAGGATATCTTAAATTTGCCACCAACGTGTTAATCCATAACCCCCTCAGAAATGGGAGGTGGCTGATGCATATAATTCCTGAGAGAGTATTAGAGTCCGACGTGTTTCCTCAATGTATGCTAGCAGACGTCCATAACCACTTCACACATAAAAATCATTCTCAGTCAACCAGTTTTCCTCACAATGTTATCCTTAACAGTTAATTTCGGTAAATAAGCATCTCAAATTGCAAAATAAAAAATGAATTTAGTTCATCGTTTGTTTAGCGTACAGCAAAAGCTTGGGATAATTTAGAAAGAAGAAGAAAGAGATATTTATTGGGCTATTTCTTAACAAATTAGCACTAAAAACCCAAAATAAACATTATGTCTAGGTAATGTTATAACTGGACTTAATTATACACTTACAATGAAAAATAAATCGTTTTGGCAATGCAGATAGATACGAAAACAATATATAAAAAAAGCGAATAGCAAACTAAAACAAAACTTATTTTAAAGGAATAGGTCCAAATAAGACCGCCTCTCAGGAAACGCTAAGATGTGTCATCCTAACCCTGATTTTCATTATATATATATATATTTTTTTTTTCATTCATTCATTCATTACAGCCTCTCCTCAGCCTAGGCCTCCCCTAAGTAATGCCACAAAGCACGGCCTGAGCCACCTGCATCCATCGACTTCCTGCATATCTTACCAGGTCGTCACTCCATTTAGTGGGGGGACGCCCTACACTACGCCTACCGGTACGAGGCTGCCACTCGAGAACCTTTCTTCCCCATCGGTTATCGGTTCTTCGAGCTATATGGCCGGCCCATTGTCACTTCAGCTTACTAATCTGTTGGGCTATGCGGTCACTCTGGTTTTACTGCAGATATCCTCATTTCTGAGTCTATCGTATATATATATATATATACAAATAAAATACAAAAACGCATAACACACATACAAACACACACACACACACACACACACACACACACACACACAACATATTTTCTCTATATATGGGGTACATATAATATATACTTAATTAATTAGATTAATAATATAGGTATATACACAATTACATATGTTTCGAATATTCTTTTATATTTACTTTTGGGCCACAACTGCTTTATATTTATGGTGCTGTTGTGGACTTTTATGAATGTTTATTCCATTGCATACCGAGAACCGAGAATACAAATATACACAACAGCAACCCAAGTGATATGCTCAAGATACCATGCTGCCACATCCATTTAGCATGTTTTACATAAATGTATATTTAATAAAGTAAAAACATTATATTTTATATTAATAATAATCTACGGTCGTACCTGTTCATTTAATAATATTGCTTTGTATATTATACACTGATTGGCGGTTTCGAAGAGGCGATGGAAGGTTATTTCAGCACTTAGTTGCGGCATATCTGAAGCTCTCTCGGAATGCGGCAGAAATAATGACGTATAGTTAAGAGCTTGTTAGTTAAGAACTTGCACGCTGAAGCGCTTGCAGAAATTGTAGGATTGTTTTTTTGCCTTTTATTATTTACCAGCATCTGGTCTTTTCATTTGATTACAATGTGGGTGTCATAGACAATAGTGACTTGACTTTTTTTGAGCTAAGTCAGTTCGCTTTACTATCTTTGGCTGTATCACCACTGACTATCAGGTAGGATTGTAGTCAAGCACTGGCTATAATATTTATATTATCCATCCATTACAGCCGAAACTCCACTGCCTCCCCTATAGACTCCCCTCTATGAAGTATTGCTTCATGAAGGGGACAACGTAAACGCAGTCCTTTATAGATTGAGCTGTTAAGTTATTGCTGCCCATCTCCTGTTTCAAATACCCTGTCGCTTTGTACGATATCTAGGGGACAATATGAAGTAATGAATATTCTTACACTGCCAATGCCAATACACGGATGAGGAATGTATATTACAAAATATAATATTAGACAATACAGTAGGTGTAACAAAAGTTAGAAAAGTCATTCCTACCGACGGGGTAAAATTTGTCTGTATTATATATATTTTTAAGGTAAGCTAACAACCGACAAACGAGAGAAACTCGAAGCAAACCAAGGGCTCTTAAAGTGATGAAGGTGCCTCGGCTATGATTTTCGTCGATTTAGAAACAATCGAGCAAGAACGGATTTAGTAAAGGCCATATAACCGGACCCAATCTTACATAGTATATAATATCTTACATAGAATTTAAAAAAGGAGGGATATGAGACGTATTAGCGCAGTATCTAAGCTTTTACATATGGGGCCGGGTGTTCGTGTGTCTTATATTACGATTAATGATTTTATTTATTACTTGAATTTAATAAAATATAATTACTTTAACTCCATATTAACAAATATGTTCAATTTAAGTACATTATGCATCTCCGTAGTACGAGAGAAAATCCTATTATTTATTATTATAATGTTCTTATTAAATTTACTTTCAACTGAGTATATGTGGCATTTAATTATTACTTTCGTAATCATCATCATTATTACAGCTTTTCACAGTCCACTACATAACATAAGACCACCATAGATTACCTCATAATTCAATATTTGCCATAATTCTTACGCTGGGCACGTTTAGTTAGTAACCGCAGTATGTTTCTTATTATACTAGTTATTATGTGCAAGAGGCTGGTGCCCATCTCTTGATTTGTTTCCCTCTCTCGCCTCTCACGATACCTACATGACGATGTGATGAGTAGTAAATATTCTTATACTGCCATTAGCCATTACACAGTTAATACTCCGGTAGTAGTCCGTTTGGGTATAAATCAACTTTTTATTTATTTTCGCCATCAACTAGCTGTGCTAGTGGTGTGTTATTGTCTGAAGGGTATATACAGCCATAGCAGCAGAATGTGTAGTAGTTGTCAGATGTGACAACGTGTTGGTAGCCCTCTTTGTTTGAAGTTGGATGCAGATGTCGATGAACTGCAGGAGCCGCTTGCAATCAGCATTTCATTTCATACGAGCATATAATATATATATATATATATATATATATATATATATATATATATATATACATATATATATATGTAATATTATGGTATACGCGCTTATATAATATTATGGTTGTAGCACCAATGCGTCAGCTCGACCGGGGAAGGACCATGCTCTCAAAAATACCAGCGTATAATATCAGCTTAATGCTACAGTGTTTTGTGTGGTGAGTGTATAGAACTAGAGAGCTTTTTACATATTATGAAGTGTAATGTTACAGAAGACGTTGGCTCCACTGTAAAATTGTTATCGTTAATTACAGTTAACATACTTGTTTTGACCATCCTATAAAAGCCTTTGCAATTAGAATTATATTCATTACAGTAATAATCACCCACTAAAGGAAGTCAGTATTGCACTGAATTAGTTTTACTTCATTATTGTAATGAAATAGTAATAAATGTTATGGAACATATTTGTTGTTTTAAAAAAAAGCTTTAGCACCGCTCCCAAAACATAACTATCTATCGAAAAATTTCTTTTATACGACTGTATAAAAAATTGTGGAAGTAAGTGGTTTTTTGTGTCTATTTTTGGCAACAAAACCATCCACACCATCTGAATGCCTGGCAGTACAACTTTTTTAGCTTCAAGCAAGCAACAAAAGCAAAATTGTGTAATATTCTAACTCGTTATAAACAGCTTCAACTTGAAATGACTTCTAACACTTGGAAAATAAACTTACAGCAGCGCTCTTGTATAAACTTTAAGAAACTTTGTGTTATATCACTCAATTAAGTTGGTGCGGTGTTTAAACCTGCGTTTAAAAATAAAATTTCAAAACTATTCAAATTAAAAAAATTCATCAATACATTTTTTTATAGAATAAGGGTGATAAACGAGCACACTGTCCACCAGATGGTAAGTGGATGTGGCCCATAACATCTATCCTCGATTAAGTGTTAAAATAAAAATGCGTTGTTGCCCCTTAGGACTGACCGAGTTATCTAAACTCACCATAATATTATATACACAGCAGTGTTAAGCTGTTACTTTACGTTTGTATTCTGTGAGACATTGAGTGAATAGAGAAAGCACCTGCGCTTGAGCATACTCGTTCAAGATAATCCTGGCCCGCATAGATGACTAGTCCCCATTGAGACTGGCGACCGTGACTGAAATTCAATCTGGAGGACATTTAGAGAACGCCTCAAAGCGTTATATTCACAAACATTTTGTGCAACGAAGTTTAAATAAATAAATATTTCTCTGAATTTTTAGGTTTTCTCTATAATACGCTCAATGATATGCAAATATATGTTAAAGTAGATGTTCGTGCACTAGTCTACATGCAAGGCATAGATGGTTTTTGATAATATTAAAACGTCAGTGAAGTTCTAACAGTACAGTCTAACAAAAAAATAGCTAACCAATCACGTCGTATTTTTCGATTAAACTGACACCACGTAAGTAAACATACAGGCCAAAACAGCGTAAGTCAGTCAGTCAACATACATATTCATAACTTGCAAAGTGTTCTGTTAGATTTATTTTTTATATTTATATATTGAGATTTATTGCTAGTAAAGGTAATTATTTGCGTTATTCAATGGTATACTTATAATAAAATTATTTTTATTTAGTGCTTAAGCTACATTACATAAAACATTTATGAATTATTTTGAAATAACAATTATAAATCGTCGAAATGAAAATTGTTTGACTTACGCAGTGTTGTCGATATTAGTTACGTAGTGTTATTAGCTCAATATTCTGTTGAAGAAATGTCACAAGAAACATTTTCAACTTTATATGAAGAACTGCCACAAAATTTAGCTCCGCCTTTAGTGAAACAGTTGCCACAAAAATCAACTCCACATTTAGAAGTACAAGTGGCCCAGGATCCACCTCCATATTTAATTGAAGAGCAGCAGCCTCTGTCAATGACTGTTACAACTTCTTCTTTATTATTAGAGAAGCAACCGTCGGATGATGAATATGGAAATCTCAATTCAAATAGAAAAAGAAGTTTAAAGGGGTTCGGAAACTCTAAGAAATGGGACAAATCAATTACAAAAATTAAACGTATGAAAGGAGAGGAGTATGTGGAATATCGTAAAGATAAGAAGGTTTTAGGAAATGAGAAATTCAAAGTAATCCATGACATACCTCGTCCAGCACGTGAAATGGGTCCAAGGTGCACTTCTACATTTTGTACGAAGTCTAAGGTCCGTGGTTGTTCAAGCTTGACTGAAGATGAAAGGCAGAATATATTTTCTAAGTTCTGGAAAGACATGTCATGGGATCAAAAAAAACAGTATGTCGTATCTCATGTCTTGATTTGTCAGAAAAAGCAAGTTAAAATACAACAAATTCTAAAAGGAGTGATAGCAAACAATACTTTTTGAATATGTCTATTGGACGAATTCAGGTGTGTATGCAGACATTTTTAAAGACTTTAGGGTTAAAAAAAATCTACTGTAAGATGCTGGGTGGCATCTTCTGAGCATGGGATAGCAAAAACTATTACTAATGACATCAATGAAGAACGAACTATCAAGAAAGATGACGTGGCTTTTCTCAAACAATTTTTTGCTTCGTTACCTAAAATTCCATCGCATTATTGCAGAGCATCAAAACAATACTTAGAGCCGATTATTGATGACAAAACCGCGTTGTACAGATTGTACACCATAGAGTGTGAAAAACTGAAAGAGCTCCTTTCAGCCGCTGGACCCTTTGCAAAGTATTTGATAAGCTAAACCTGAGCCTGTTTACACTAAAAATGGATCAATGCGACACTTGCTGTTCACACAAAGTGGGAAATATAACGGATGATAAATATAACGCTCATATACGCTTAAAGGACATGGCCAGAAATGAAAAATTAAGGGATAAAGATAGAGCTCAAAAATTCGGTGATATACATATTTTTACGCATGACCTACAACAAGTTGTGTCCTCAGTTACAGACCAGTGCTCTTTATTACAAAACTAAACTCTGCGTACATAATTTCACAATGTATAATCTAGCAACCAAAGATGTCTACTGCTACTGGTTCGATGAAACAAACGCTGGTCTAACAGCTTCTGTATTTATTTCATGTATCATACACATACTGAGAAGAACTTTATAGCAAAAATGCGTTCCTTTTATCCTTTTTTCTGATGGTTGTACGGCACAGAATAGGAATATTTTCCTTAGTAATGCACTTTTGCAATTAGCAAAAAATGTCATAATCGAACAAAAGTTTTTGGAAAAGGGACATACGCAGATGGAGTGTGACGCAGTGCACAGTTTCATCGTGCAGAAAACCAAAAATAAGGAGATCTTCCTGCCCTCTCAATATGCAGTACTCTCCAAGGAAGCTAGACCTAAACGGCCTTATATAGTTGAGTATTCGAGTTACGAGTTTTTTGAGGACTACACTCAAAAGAATACATTTGTTTATGACTCTATACGGCCAGGTCGAACAACCAACGATCCTACTGTACAGACTTAAGAGTGCTACAATATAACCCTAATGGAATAATCAAGTACACATTAAGTTTTGATGCAGAATATCAAGAGTTGCCCCGCGGCAGAACTCGACGTAGGATGCTGATGATCGAACCTACCCAATAGACCAAAGCTTTACCAAAGTGCAATAAAAATAGCTGTAGTAAATGGCGACATTTGCAAGAATTTAAGGCCGTCATTCCTTTCGACTGTCATAGATACTACGATTTTCTACCTCATTGATACGTTATTTATGGATTCCTTATTATGTTGTTAGTATAGGCAAATACATTTGAAAACTTTTTTGAATTTTTTTAAGGTTTAAGTATTTTGATTTGACTTATAGTTTAAGTTTATTTTGATAATTTTAATACACCCAGTTTGTGTTGAAAAAAATGTTTATTAGTAAAATAATGTTGTTATTTTGATAATAATAATATAATGTCTACATTATTATCTTTACTTGTGCAATATCTTTCATATTTGTAAGTTCCTTAAATATAACACAAATTTGATTTAACTTTTTGTAATTACTTTCCAATTATCTGACTAAGAAACATGACGTAAGTCAAAGCAAATTTTAATGAACAGAGCAAAAGTCACGATAATACCTTATTAATAAAAATAACTTTATATAAATCGTATTTTATTTTTTTAATAACTTAATTTTAAATACATTTTCCCAATAAGTATACCTCAAATATAGCTAATAATAATTTTACACGGTTATTTTGCTCTCCTGTAAAATAGACATTTTTGACTTTCGCACTGTTAGAACTTCACTGACGAAAAGTATATTAAAAGCGTTTATCTTGTCAACTATTCTACAAAGTACACAAAAACATGCACAAATTGCGGTCTGATTTAAAATGACTCATGACATTGGCATGTTTTAACTTATAATAGTCATCTCAACTTTTGTCCTTACTAATCAAAGTCAGCGTGACGATTAATGGCAAAGCAAAGAAAAGTGATCGCTGGTAGATCTCTTAACTAATCCTGCAGCCAATTAGTAGTGTTTGCACTGCTGTGTTTCGGTCTAAAGGTTTCTATCTTCAGAGCTGACGCCGCATCTGTAGCATTCCTTGTTGGAAGTTGGCTGCAGGTGCCTTTTTAAATTATTTTAATAATGTTTATACGTGGTAGCGCCACGCTATATTATGGTTGCACTAAGAATATGTCGGCTCGATCACGATAAGATCACGTTCTTACAGAATACCAGGGTAAAATATCAACTGAATGTTTAGTTTTGTGAGGCGAGTATATTGAACCGGAGATACATTTTATTGGAAACGAAGCACTCCTTCTTAGTCACAACGCACCTGCATTTTGGTTCTTAATCGAAGATAAATGAAGATGTCTATGATTCACAGCATCCATTTACAATCAGGTGGGCCGTTTGCTCGTTTTTCACCCTTATTTAAAAAAAACAATTCTAAAGGCAAATTTCGTAAAATTTTCTGTTTGTTTCTGTGTAAATTTTAACCGATTTCCTTCGTTTGAAAGAAAGAGTGCTTTTCCAAATAGTAGCGGTAGCGTCACGCTACACGACATGAATAATAATTACTCGTACCTTACTATTTGCCGAGTCCCTATTTCCCGCCTAAACTGGATTTACACGGTTTATTAATATGCAAATTTAACAAATTTGTAACAAGCTTCATTTGTTTAATGATAATGATCTGCACTGTACTGCAATTAGATGTTGCAAATACGAATGGCGTGAGTAATATTCGGTTTATGATTTACTTTACTTAAATTAACTTAACGCATATAAGGAGGAAACCCGAACATATAGTAAAACTAATATGGCATTTTCTACAAGGCGACCGGGAATTTAATGGAATAAGTATGCACTGTAGTGGACTAGATCATACTTATTTAAATATATATTAAAATTTATATTTAATAAATAAATAATTAAATGATATATATTTATTTATGAGTCAGTTGAGCATAAACTTAGTTATGTTATTTTATTTTTGTTTTAAATATCCACCTGTAAAAATATTTCAAAGATGAAGTCTGCCAACACGCATTTGGGACAGCGCGACTGACACTGCCCTACAACCCTTTCAGAAATAAAAAGTGTTCCGTGCCCAATAGAAGTTTTTCTTTATTTTTGACTGTATATTAATACGGTTTTTCCAGGTTTCCATTGTTGCAAGCTGGTATAGATGGAGTCAAAACGTGGATGCGGAAATATCTCCAGTCGTGTCTGATTTCCGTCCAATTTGATTCATCATCATCGTCATTACAGCCTTACACAAGTCCACTGCTGAACACAGGCGTCCCCCAAGGAGTGCCAAAAGCACGGTCCTGAGTTATCTGCAACCATCGACATCCTGCATGTCTTACCAGGTCGAAACTCCATCCAGTGGGAGGACGCCCTACAAATAACCTCACCATGCGGAACTGACAATAGAGAACCTTTTTTCTCCATCGGTTATCGGCTCTCTAAGCTATGTAGCCGGCCCATTGCCACCTCAGTTTCCTAATCCGTTAGGGTATGTCGGTTACTCTAGTTCTATTCTGGTTTTGGTTCTACTTGTTGGTATACCTCAAACTCTGAAAAATAAATTGTACAGCCAGTGCGTGTTGCCAGTGATGACCTATAGAACTGAGACCTGGTCCTTCACTGCTGGCCGTACGAGAACGCTCAAGGTCGCCCAGCGACCTATGGAGATGGCTATGCACGGGGTTTCTCTGCCTGATAAACTCAGAAATGACGATATCCGCAGTAGAACCAGGGTAAACGACATAGCCCAACGGATTAGTAAGCTGAAGTGGCAATAGGCCGGATGGGGAAAAAAGCTTCTTGAGTGGCAGCCTCGTACCGGTAGGCGTTGTGTAGGGCGATCCCCCACTAATTGGAGTGACTATCTGGTAAGACATGCAGGAAGTCGATGGATGCATGTGGCTCAGGACCTTGCTTTGTGGCATTACTTGGGGGAGGCCTACGTTGAGCAGTGGACTTGTGAAGGGCTGTAATGGTGATGATGATGGAGCATTCGCGAAAACTTAAGAAATCATCTTATTATTCTTTGTTATAAGTCTCACTTAAACTTGGGACTGTGGCGGCGCTGTCGTCGCGTCAGAAGCAAAACTCAAATAAGTCTAAATTGCGATATGAAATTTCAAAAATACTTTAGTATAAATAGAGGATAACTCTGTAAAACCACATGGACCGTTGGGCGCTCCCCGGGTAATACGTTGCCCAGTGGGAGATCTCCCCTTTTCCTTCCATGGCCGAACTGGTAACCCCGACACGCAACCAATACACTTCGGAAACTACAACCACTCACTCATTACTCTCAAGAATCCTTATCATTCACTCCCTTTTCATCTCGACCCACCGCAGATTCGTAAAACAGAACTTGCAAGAGCGTAGTACGGCATACATTACCCACTGTCATATCGTTTACACCGTCGTCACTCTTGTTCTTTCGCTCACAGCATACATACCAATTACATACAATCAACCCATTATTTTCTGTTACAAGACTCACGAAAACATGGTAGTAATAAGTCCTATCAACCTAATAAGTCCTACCAACATGCCACACGAAGGAAGTTTGTGATTTTCAGGTAATACGTATGTACATATTTCATAAATGTCTGTATTTATATCTCCTGTAAGTAGATAATACCTGAAGGTATTTTATCATCGTCAAATTCATTATTATTATATTATTAGAAGACATAACATTGTAGTCGAATTCTTTGTCATTTTAATTATATTCTGCTTTTTATCTCGTCGGAAAGACACAAAACCGCAGTATTCAACCACAGAAAGTTCTTTGTATTGTGTTTTATTTTTGTGAGGTGAATATCAATAGTAATTCTTTTCAAAGCACTACTCCAATCAAAAGTTTCAGTATGAGGAGATAAGACGAGGCATGATGCTGA